GGGAGGGGAGCCTCGGGGTCTTAAAGGGCTCAGGTGGGGGTGGGGTGACGTGGCGAGCCGCGGGCCCGCTGGCCCAGCGGGTACGTGGCGGAGTGGGGCGAGCGGCTGGTTGCCCGACGGTGACACGCGCCTCGCACGGCGTTTGCCGTCTGCGCCAGGGAACGGTTGCGCATGCCCATTTTGCCCCCAGATAATGGCCGGCCCTTTCCAGGGCCATCTGCTGGAGCTCAGGGGCAGAATAGGGATTTCGCGCTGGGAGGTGGGGGGCCGTGGGTGGCGTGCGGGCGTGAGGTGTGGAGTGGACTGGATAGTGAGGGACTACTGCTAGTGCTACCGACCCGTTTAAAAGTTTTTTTCTTTCTTTTACAGAGATATTTTTATCTTTTTTGGTTGGATTGGATAGGGCTGTTTTAGCGTCTTGGGCCTAGAACATACGTAAGGACTTTTGAGCAGGATGTTTCGATTTTCCTGCTACAGTTTTTTTTAGAATCACTGCTACAGCTTCTAAAACATTTCCTAGCCACCAACAATTGTTGGTTTATCGTTATGGTACACCCCATGTTGTACTTCTCTTTTTTGGGGGGGGAAATGCAAGTTGTACTATGACTGCTTCGAGTCAAAATAAGCATCATATTTAGAGAGGGCCATAAAAATTTGCTTCCTAATTTACCCGCAACGCAAACGCCGATACAACTATAAACTATTGAAATAATGAGAACTTTAATTCGTACGTAAAATATATAATAGTAGAGTATTTATTCTAGATTTCGAAGAAATTCGGTTGATCGATGGTGCTTGAAGCTATCGAGCGTAGAGATATTCTAAGATCAGTGATGACTCACAAAGCCTAAAATAAAATTCAGCAATTGATTTTGCAACGATCAAAACAAGAGCATCTCTGGTCAAATTTGGCTACCCTGACGTCCGCGGAAAAGAACCGGCCACCCCCATTTGTTCGCTTGGGCAACCACATTTGTCGTATTCAAAATCTCGAACCAATGCGACCTCAAAAAAGGAAATCTCAAATCAATGCAAAGGCATGCACGAGATCATTCGATCAATATAGCAGACAACCAATTCAACGATTCAAGATTGCTCTGAATAATCCAGGATGGAAAAAAAATCAACAATTTATAAATCAATTATCCTTATTGATCTCCTTCTTTTGTTGATCAACAATTTCTTCTAAGTTTTTTAATGATTGAATTGGATGTGGTTGTTCTAGCATGGTGGGCCCAGTGCCTCGAGAGACATTTGTGCAAGATGTCTCAATTTTTCGGCTTCAATTTCTAAAATATTTTCCTGTCACCAGTTGTTATATTAAGATAGTATTAGTAAAACCCACCCATGTTGTACTGGTACAACGTCAAATAAAATTAGCATCATATTTAGGAAGGACCAAAAAATGTGCTTCCTAATTTACCCGCAATGCAAACACCCATACAGATATAAACTGTTCAAATAATGAGAAATTTAATTCCTACATAAAATATATAATTGTAGAGTATTTATTCTAGATTTCGAAGAAATTCTATCGGTTCGATCGTGCTAGGTGCTATCGAGCGCATTGATATTCTGAAACAAGTGATGACCGACAAAGTAGAAAATAAATTTCAGCATCAGATCTTGCAAGGACCAAAACAAGAGCATCCCCGGTCAAACTTGGCTAACGTGAAGTCCACAGACAACAGCAGGCCATCCCCATTTGTTCGTTTGGGCAACCACACTCGTCGTATTCAAAATCTTGAACCAATGCAACCTCAAAAAAGGAAATCTCAAACCAATGCAAATGCATGCACAAAGATTATTCGATCAACATAGCAGACAACCAATTCGGTGATTCAAGATATGTCAGAATAATCCACGATGAAAAAAAATCAACAATTTATAAATCAGTTGCCCTTATTGATCTTCTTCTTTTCTTGATCATCCATTTCCTCTAAGTTTTCTTATGATTGGGATTGGATAGGGTTGTTTTAGCGTGGTGGGCCTACTGCCCTACGGAAGCTCGATAGTGTTTCAATTTTTCAGCTACGGGTCGAAAACATTTCTCTATCACCAATTGTCGGATTATACCCACATAGTGGTAGTAGAACCTGGGAAAATATCTGGTGCACCGGTGCTTGTGATGCTTGTGGTGCTACCGGTGCACCGAACTCATGTTGCACATTTTAAATGTTTGAAAAATTCTGAAAAAATCGCACATACACACAACATTTATGTAGGTTGTCACAAAATTTCAAGTCAAATACAAAATATAGCTTTAAAAACAAAAAATGGCAAATTCAACACTAAATAGTAGATATCATAAGTTGGGCTTTAAATTTGGCCCATTGTCACACTGATGTTAAATTTTCATTTTTGTATCTCAAGAAATGTTTCAAATTTTGATACGAAATTTTGCGACAACATACATTGATGTGGTGTCAATGCGCTAGATTTTTCTTTCAGATTTTTAAAAATGTTCTATTGCATCCGGTGCACCGTTAGCACCACAAGTGTGGGTGCACAGGATATATTCCCGATACAACCTACCCATGTTGTGCTTCATTTTTCCGGGAAAACACATGTTTTACTACATCTGCTTCGAATAAAGATGAGCATCATTTTTAGGGGAGACTAAAAAAATCCACTTCCTAATTTACATTCATCGCAAACTCTCATACAGTTATAAACTGTTCTAATAATATGAAAAAAAATTCCTACATAAAATATATAATAATAGATTATTTATTCTAGATTTCTAAGAAATTCGGTTGGATCGATGGTGCTTGGAGCTATCGAGCGCAAAGATCTTCTCAAACCAGTGACGACTGACAAAGCCTAATGTAAATTTCAGCATCTGATTGTGCAACGACCAAAACAAGAGCATCCCTGGTCAAATTTGGCGAATGTGATGTCCGCGGACAAGGGTCGGCCTCCCCCATTTGTTCCTTGGGCAACCACATTCGTCGTATTCAAATCTCGAATCAATGCAACCTCAAAAAGGGAAATCTCAAATCAATGCAAAGGTATTCACGAGATCATTTGATCAATATAGCAGACAACCAACTCAACGATTCAAGATAGGTCAGAATAACCCATGATGAAAAGAAAAACAACAATTTATAAATCAATTGTCCTTATTGATCTCCTTCTTTTATTGATCAACCATTTCCTCTAAGTTTTCTTATGGCTGGGATTGGATAGGGTTGGTTTAGGGTGGTGGGCCTAGTGCCCTACGGAAGCTCGAGAGACATTTGAGCAAGATGTTTTGATTTTTCAGCTACATTTTTAAAAACATTTTTTGTCACCAGTTGTCCGATTATTTCCAGATAGTAGCAGGGCAACCTACCCATGTTGTGCTTCATCTTTTCGGTAAAAACACAAGTTGTACTACAACTGCTTTGAATAAATATAAACATCATACTTAGGGAGAACTAAAAAATTCACTTCCTAATTTACGTTCATCGTAGATGCCCATACATTTATAAACTATTCAAATAATGAGAAATTTAATTACTACATAAAATATATAATATTAGAGTATTTATTCTAGATTTAAAAGAAATTCGGTTGGATCGATGGCGCTCGGAGCTATCGAGTGCAAAGATATTCGCAAACCATTGATGACTGATGAACCCTAAAATAAATTTCAACTTCAGATTTTGCAACGACCAAAACAAGAGCAACTTTGCTCAAATATGGCTAACGTGATGTCCGCGGACAAGATCCCGACACCCAGGGCACCTCGATGTGCCCGCCATGTAGGACTAGACGCAAGGGCATGTGCTGATGGTGTCCTACATAGGGGGTACTAATCACGTCGGCTCCCAGAGGTGGATTGGCCGAGGACCCCCAAACGACCAACCAGTTCGCCACATCCATCAGGCCCCATGATGTACCTAAGATGGAATCTTCTAAAGACTTGGCGCATACTCCAAGGCACAAATGCAATCTTCGGCATGTTTATCTCCAGACGCAACCTGCATATCTATAACCCTAGGTACCCCCGACATTTATATAAGCCGAGGGGTTTAGACCGTTGAGGTAGAGATATTCGAATATGATCTCGAGGTAGATCAACTTGTACTTTGTACCCAACCTACAATCAATACAACAAAGCAGGACGTAGGGTTTTACCTCTTCAAGAGGGCCTGAAGTCGCGTAAACATTGTGTCCCTTCTTTGTCCTGTTACCATTGTGCCAAGGCAACCAGCTCAGGACCTCCTACCCGAGATCTGTCGGATTCGACTCCTTCATTGGTGGCTCGTGCGTGCCCCTCCTCGTAGCCGAAGCGGCTCGATGGCTCGTCTTCAAATCAACAATAGCATCGGCTGTGGCATGAACTTCTTTAAGGGATAACTTTTTGTCTTCGGCAACATCATGTTTTATACTGATTTGACTAGCCACCTCAGCCACATAAAAAACTTCACTCCGCGTCAGATCATCGGATTTGGTAACCTGGAGTATGTTGTAGATTCGCACGGCGAGCTACCATTCTAGTGTCAGACCAGGTTCAATCCTGGACTAGGATCATGACGTTGGCCATGCGCCGGATCTGGCCTTG